ATACCTAATAATAGCTAGCTTTATATTTAAGCAGCTTGAGGTAATTGTAATAATGGTTTATTTGCCTTCAAATAATAAGAAAGAAAGAAGACTAATTCAAAGAGAGATCTTAGAAAGATATATTAATTGATCTAAAAAAGCCCAAATAATAGTTATAGGTGATTTTAATTGTATTTTGGATTCTTATCAAGACAAATTGTATAGCAATGAATATGAGCTATTAAAGGTTGATCTATTTATCAAATAGTTGCAGAAGCAAGATTTTAAAGACTTCTTTAGACTAATAAACTCAAGATGCAAGAAGTTTTTCTGGACAAATAGAGAACAAAGCACAAGAATTAACCAGATTTAGATAACAGATGATTTAATTAGCAGACTGTATGAAGCAGATATTCAAAATATAAACATCTTCACTGGCAGTGACTATGGAGTGATACTTGCAAAAATAGAACTAGAATATTTAATATCTTCAGTCAGCTATGCAGAACTCAAAAGAGAAAATTTTAGTAGATCAGTTTTTCTATATAATGAGGCAACAAAAAAAAGCTAGGATAATTATAGAGCAGAGGTAGAAAGAATTCTTAAGAACAAAGGAAATCTAATACAAAACCTTTCAAACTTTAATCATTTTTTGGAAGAAGAAACTCAGATTTTGCTAGATGAAGCATGGAATTTAATTAGCAAAAGCATATTAGCAGCAGCTCAAAAAATGCTTTCTAAAAAGAAAATCTTAAATGTATTAGCAACTAAATTAAAACAAGAAAAGAAATTCAGGCTATCACAACTCACAGTCCATTTGGGTAGATAGATAAGCTTGGGTAGAAAAAATCTCAAACTACGGTTTATAACTGAAGATATACAAGAGTTTAATGAACAAATCAAGTACATCAATTCCTGTTGTAAAACTTATATAGAGGAAATCTAAAATTGTTGGATACAAGAAATAATTGATGATCTAAAGGGTTGGTAGAAAATTCTTAATAAAAGAAGAATCGAAGAACTTGAGAGAATTAGAAGAAATGAAATAAATAAAAATATTGAATGAAGATGTCAAATGATAGATAAACAACAAGAGAAGATATTAACAAGCCTACTTGATAAGCCAATTAGGAAAATCAATATAGACAGACTACTTGAAAAGAATGAACTTACAAAAAGGCTAATTATCAATCTAAAAGAAGTATTGAAGAGTGTATTATGATAAAATGGTGAATAATGAAATGGTGGATGATAATGAAAGAGTGAACAACGATGAAAGGGTGCACAATGATGAAAGTGTGAATGATAAAAGAGTTGACAATGAAAGAGTAGATGACGATGAAAGTGTGGATATTGAAAGAGTAAATGATAGAAGTGTGTATAATAAAAGAGTGGACGATGAAAGAGTTAAGATTCTTTTTGTAAGGTTTATAGTTATATAGTCTAGCTTCTCTATTTCTACCAACTTAGAAGTGAATATTGGCTATTTCTACAGACTTGTTTCTAGAATAACTCTTCTAGTTTGGATGCCAAATACTTTGGAAAGTCTATCAAGAAAAAAAAACTTGATACCAAAGAAAATTATCCATTCTTTTAATACCTGTTTCTTGGTATATTACGTCTAGACACTTAAACTTTATTAACAACAAGCTGCTTCTAATTATAGGACCAAGTTTAGTATCTACTTTGTTGCTTTTCTATACATTTTGCTATAGTTTAGTTTTTGTTGTTGTTGATTAGAGGATTATTGAAAAGAGTTGAAAAAATCTAATTTTTTAATAATTGTTAAATGTTTAATAACTTTATAACAAATAATTATTTAAAAAATCTCTATATTTAACAACTCTTTCTGCTAATTTGTAATTTTTAATCATCCAAAACCAAAATCAACAATTATTTCCAAATCTAGCATAAGAAACAAGGTATCTTATACTAAGAGAAAAGAAAAAGCACTTAAAATAATCTGTAGTTTATTAGAATAGGCTTTTACTTAAGACCTTTAGTTTAGCAATAACAAATTTTTTAGAAATTTTTAAAAAATTTAAAGAAATCTGCTTAGACCCTGAAAATCTGATCTTAAAACGTATAAACAACAAAAAACAACAAATACATAAAATCAGAAAAATAAACAAACAAATAAATAGCAAATCATATTACTATTTTTAGAATTAACAGAAAAACAGCAAATAAACAAACAACACACGTACTATTATTAAGAGCTAAAAGATTTTTCTAGAAAATACACTAGAATTCAATACAACAAACATAAAATATAAATTAACCTGTAAAGATATTCATACAAGAATTTAAATACTCTAAAATATGACAACTTTAAAAAGAATTAAGGGTGTATTTTCAAAACCAGTAGAGAAAAGACAAGAAATATGTGAATTACAGACAAAATTTACTATTCAAACAGATAGATGTGTAGCAAATTATCTGGAATAGAGAATCTAAAATATATATCATTTATTTGTATAGCATTAGAAAACTACAAAACAGCATTTTAAAGGTTTTCAAAAGATAACAAATTAAACTCAGAAGATTAAGAATTAATAGGAATAGATCTAAAAACTAATATAATTGAGTTTAGAAATTTAATTATAAAGAGGCCGCAAGAAGAAGAAACCAAGAATACAATAACTATTGCCAAGACTAAAAAAACGATCTCACCTTTCATACAAGCAAAAATAGAGATTGAAGAATCTATCACACAATTAGTTCTTAATGAGCTAACACAAAAAAGAAAACATATAGATCTTAATGAAAATAGAGAAGGAAATAAAGAAGGTCTGAAGTTTAAGCATCAAGATAATAATTCAGACAAAGTTGCAAAAGCAATATTGAATGAATCAGTAAAGAAATTCTCGAAAGCTCTGATAATGAAAAGGTAGAAGATGAAATAATTCTACTATATACAGAATATGGATTACACGATCAAAGAATAAAAGAAACTAAAAACCTTATATTATTAAGATATAATAAAAGGACAGTTGTAGTTCCCTCTAAAAAAGAGAAGAAGAAAGAAGATAATATTACTTATGAAGATATATATGGATTCAGATAGGCTTCTAAAGATATCAGTAACTCAATTTTGGCTTCAAAAAATAGATCAAAGGAGAACCTATAGAGAAAAAAAGTACCCAAAGCTTTATTAAAACAGAAAAAACCCAAAACTCAAAATCTGAATATAAATTAACTTTATAGGACTTACCAAAGGACACTTGGTCTAACAGAATAAAGAAATGTCTTAGTTTCTATAGCAAAGCAAAAATCCTAGAATGGAAAGAGAATCAACAAGAAGTTAAGAAATCGAAAACAGCTTATATACAAGTTACATACTGAAATTAAGAAAGATTTAAAGCACTACAAGAAAGTTAGATAGTTCATTTTGAGGAGGGAAGTATGTGCAGAATAACTTCAGATTACTTCGATAAAGTTGAACTTATTAATAGAAGGAAGTACACAGCAAGACTACAAGATTTTCCATATAATACTCTTGAATCCTCTTTACTTAAACAACTCAAACCAAGCAAAGCCAAGGCAGTATATATTCCAAGTAATAGTAATGGAAATAGAAGGAGTATTGCTCTTATATACTTTAATAGTGAAGAAGACTGTTTAAAAGCACAGGAAAGACAAATATATTACTGTAACAAGAAACTTACTTGGATGGACCGCAAGGAAGAAAAAAATAAAAAACTAATCTATGCAGAAGTTGT